TTAGCTCCCCAACCAGGGATTGAACCTGTGCCCTCGTCGGGGAGAGTGCGGAGTCCTAACCACTGGACCGCCGGGGAGTCCCTCTGCCTCCATTTTTAAGCTGTTCTTTGCGAATAGTTAATTTACCAGGAAGAATGACATTTCTAACTTAAGTAGACATGCCTGTGTATTTCATATTTTTTTCCTTTCAGTAGACTTCTGGGGAGAAGTAATTTTAAATTAAAAGTAAAGCAGAACACAGTTTGTACTACCAAAATTATGATGTAGAATTTTATAACTCGTGTAGTTACAGAGCTCATTTCATAAATCATGCAGCCTGGGCCGTTTGTTCTTCAACTGAAGGCCCTAGAGCTGGTACCGATGGGTCCGAGGGGTACTCAGGGCAGCGTCAGTGCCATTGGTGGGGCTGTGCAGGCCTTGCCCTGCGGTGGCCAGTCTGACTGTGGGCAAGATTCCTAAGGGCTGCTGCAGGCTGGGGCTTCTTATATCTGTACAGCGGTGGGTTCCAGTTCCATTGCATAAGGGAGAAGTACTGAATTCCTCCATGGTCCCTGGGAATAGCAGCTGAGTCCTAGAAGTCCCTCTTTCCTGCTCAGGGTCCAAGGGGATTAACAATGCAGTGGCCTTGTCAGTGGCAGTGCCTTCTCAGTCTCAGGGCTGCACTCCCGTCTGCGCTCTCCTTCCTCCCTGCTCACACTGCCCCGCCCGGCTTTGTGCTCCCCACTCTGCATCTGGCTGGAGCCACCAGATGCTCAGAGGGTGTTCTCCAAAGTGACCTGTGCTTCCTCAAGCTGTTAGCTTGGCTGGAGGTGCCTTGGTTCAGTTTCCATTGAGGGTTGCTGTCGGTGGAGCCCCAGCCCTCGAAGCCTTTCCTGACTCTTTCAGTAAGTGTCTCCTCCCCTGCGCTTCGAACTCTCTTGATCTTTGAGTTTTGCCTGTTGGCACACAAGCCTGGCCCGGCCTCCTGGATCACGATCTTCAGGGGAGACTCTTCTGAGCCGGCCGCCCGCGCCCCGTGCAGCTGGGCCACACCGAATTCAGCCGAGGGCTGTGAGGCAGGGGCCCGAGCCCCTGGGCCCTGATGCTTGTTCCCAAGAGGAGGAGCATTGCGTCTGAAATGATGTGTTTTGGTTGGATAACATTTGTGAATGGCAAGAACGGTTGGTTATAGTTAATTCATTTTTATATCCAAGTTACTGGATTGAATTTTCTTAAAGGGTGTGTCTGATATTCGCAGATCGATTTAATTTTCCTAGGAAGGAGGACTGGGCATCCGAGTGCTTTTCTAAGGATCTTGGCATCATCCAGCCCAGCCCCCTCGATTTTCTGAAGAGGAGACCAAGCCTGTGTCACGTGGGAGCTCCTGGCTGGGACCTGACCCAAGGTCTTCTCATTTCTAGTGAAATTTCTTTCCTCTTACTAGCCACTTTTTCGAACTGTGTTTCTTTGTTTTATATACAGAGAAAAAAAATGGCCAAAGTTAAAAAAAAGAGGGAGAAAGAAGATAAAAAAGTCAGGTAATCTTAAGCAAAGGTATTCTTTCCAAAAAGCATGTGTGGAATTCCTTGTCCACATGTCCTGAAGCTGAGGGAAGGCGCGACTCTTTGCAGGAGGAGGGCATCTTCAGAATAAGTGGGCATGGGATGGGGTCCATATAACAAGAGTGCCTCGCCTCAGTTTGCTGTCAATTTTATGTCTTATTTCTGTGCCTCGTTCCTGCTGTAGAAGCAGAACAGGCTCGCTCTTATTTTTCTCTTTTAATAAAGGGCTTTTCCTTGTAACCATCTTGCAGATGGGGAAAGGGTGAGAGTTAGAAATACATGGCATGAATTTATAATTTAGTTTTACAAGATGCATGCCTTTATTTTATGGCAGATGTGGGGACTCCTAAGAGTACCAGAGGCCAGGTGGACTTCCACATAAAAGAATCATCCGTCTTGTTAAGGGTACAGATGTGAAGAGGGTAATGCTGATTTTTGAGAGAAAAAGGAAAGGGAAGACAGTGTATCTTTTATTTCTGAAGCTCTTGAGGCTTAAGTTATTTCTTTGATGTTGTCGATTTAGAAATGAAAACTTTGGCATCTTTAAACACAGTATGATGTCCTATGATTTCCTAGCTAGCACTGATATTTGAGGATAATTGTTGATGTCCATGGTTGACTAAATTTTGGCAGTTTGCTGCTTTTTTCCCCCTTCAGTCTTTAATACTCGAGGTCATAGGTATGTGCGTGAGATCCTTCCAGGTCAGTACCTGTGTCTAAAATGGTTTTATCTATGGGAACTAACTTTTTAACTCATATAGTGATGTTAAATCTCCTTGTACAACTTGATCTGGTTTCCAGATTGTAAAGTCAAGTGAGCTGAAACTGACCAAATGAGAAAGATAAATCTGTTCTGTGACTTTTAGGAAAAAATACTGACATGGTTTTATTTCTCCATTGTGAGGTCAAAAAATAGTTTCTTTGAAGTTTCTGCCATACTGCTTAAATGTCTGATTTTCACTGGGTATGAAAAACTTCCTGCTCGTGGGTTTTAGAAAACTCTGTTATGGTGTGAGACAGCCCAGGTTTATATTTCACTTGTTCTATTCAGAGATAATTACTACTACCCCATTTGGGACTTCTAAATCCTGAGGTCAGCTCTGACTCCACGCTCAGTTGGCCTCTCCATCTGTTCTCATTGCTTTTGCTGTTAGATGACAGTCATCCTCTTAGTAACACGATCTAATATTTATTGCACTTAACTATGTGCCAGGCGTGTAGCAAAGGCATTATTATTTCATTTTAACCTCATGATAACTATAAGGTGGATACCGTTGTTATTTTCATGTTACAGATACTAAGGCTGGGACTTTTGAGAAGTTAAGTGACGGCTTTGGGTCTCAGCTCTGAAGCCCTGCCCCTGTCCTGGCAGGTGACACTGCCTTGGTTCCTTGGGTAGGTCATGTGAACTTGGATGGACTTGAACTCCATGCAGGGTTCAGGTTTCTGACCTGGATAGACAGATCTGCATTGGAATTTTGGCTGTGCCTCTTAGTGACTATGTGATCTTGGGTGAATTACTTAAATCCTCCAAAACCTCGTCTTCATTCAGAAGTTGTGTGTGAAATCTGATGATAAATCCACTTTCAGTACCCAAGGCAGGAAGAAGACTCTCATTAGTTATTTTACTTTTTACTAATACAGTAGCCTGACTTTTCTAAGATCATTCTTGGCATGTGAAGTTGCCTGTTTTCTTTTCCTTCTGGAATGCTGAGCCCTGACCATCTCTGTCTGGAGTGGGGGTGACTGCGGTGCGTCTGATGTTGACAACTCTTTATGTCGCCTCCTGTGGCTCTTTAAAACATTTCTGGAGGCAACTGGGTGTGTGTTTGTGGCCTTTTTTTGCAAGCAAGTCATGGAGTTAGTACTGGCCTTTTGGGGCTTGAGAGAGACCAGTAAATAGCATACCTCTCACCTGCCCGAGCTGGACACGAGGGAGGAGGTTGGCAGATGGACACTGAGGTCACCTTTATTATTAATACAGTTGATGCTGAGGTAGAATAAAGGAGATACAGATGAGAGATAACAGAGAAAGGATTCTTAGGAGAGGGGATGGGGGAAGGGAAGCTTACACAGAGACAGAAAAGTGGAGAGAGGAAGAAGAGATTGCAACCAGGATTCTTCCTATGAGATGAGGATCTTGGAAGGGGTTCTCTGTATTGTTTGCACCTTCAAGAAAAATGGGAGAGGGGCTTGCTGAAGGTTATAGCGTTTCTGTGGGCCGGCAAGTTTCAAACTCAAATGTCTATTCCTGGACCAGCCTCTGGACTGTGCTTGCTGGAGGGCTACTTTGCGGGAGGAGAACATGGAAAGATTGTATTTTGGAAAACTTACTTGAGTCTCTGAAAACAGTTATGCATGCTACATTTAGGAGCTTCTCCAGTTAAGTATTTTTGGAGTACATGGCTTTTAAGATGTCCTGTGACACTAAGTGAAGTAAGACAGAGAAAGACAAATATATCGCTTATATGGGGAATCTAAAAAAAAAAAAAAAAAGATACAAATGAACTGATTTACAAAACCAAAACAGACTCACAGACTTAGAGAATGAGTTTATGGTTACCAGGGGAGAGGGATGGGGGAGGAGGGATAGATTGGGAGTTTGGGGTTGACAAGTATACACTACTATATTTAAAATAGATAACCAACAAGGACCTACTGTTCTTTTTTTTTAAAAAGAATTTCTTAAAAGAAATGTCGTATGACAGTTAATACTTTCTTGATACACACACGTGTATATATTTTATATTTATATATATTTTTACATATATTTTGTATTTTAAGTCTTTAAGTATGTGTATATATTGTTATAGCTTATTTTTTAATGTCTTTATATGTTTTTTAGTATTTTAATTTCTGGCTTTTGGTTCTGAAGGAAAATGAAATCATAGTAATGATTAACAACTGCTGAAAATATGACCTGCCGTATGAGATTTTATTTGATTGTTAATCTTAAAAATACAGACCTGGTGATGGTTTCAGCCTTTGGGAGCAACCCTGGCTGTGCTCCTGATCCTTTCCCTGTTACAACTTGTCTAACGAATGTGGAGGCCGAACCTCCCTCCCTCTGCAACCCCTGACCCTCAGCTCCCGCCCTTGTGTGTCTTTTCTTGATTTGGGGTTTGTGAAAATAGATATGTTTCCTGAATTCCCCCAGAAATGAAGCCTATTAAAAATTAAATCTATCTCCATTTTTTATCTGAATGCTTATAGAATCTATATATTTGGTATGAAGTTATACTAACCATAATCTAAGAGTATCTTAAATTTTTGCAGCTGTAGAATTATATTAGGCTTCAAATAATTCAGCTTTAACATTTAAAATCTAGTTCCGACTCCTTTATAAGGGAGTAAAATTATATCTTATGAGAGCTATCGGCCTAAGTATATCCTCTTAACTCAGCATTCAAATTTTAAAAGTACAACAAAAATTAATCTGTCTTGTCTTGTCTTTTTTAGCTTCTCAGACAAGCTATTTAGTGGAAAAGCTTTACATTTTCAGCCATCAGTTCTAGATTTTGGAGTTCAGTAAGTATCTTCTCTTTATAATTTTTAGTAATTTATTATTTACACTCTTTGCTTTCAGGATATCTCTTATGTTTATGTATGATGTTAAATATATTTTAAATATATAGATAATATCAAGAGAGATTGATCCTAGAACTTGTTAAAAGGAACATTTTTGTGAAAAGGAGAGTGTAAGAGTTGTTTTAGCCCTTTCGTTAGTTTTTAATGAATGTACCGTATAATTTAAGTCGATAGTAAGTCCTTGTTTTTCTGAAACAGAGCAGGATATTTTATAACGAAAAACTCTACATATTGATGGTTTCTGAATTTTTAAAATTAGATTCACTTATTCACTCAGTTTTTACTGCTCCTTATGCTTTGGGATTCAAAATTGTACATACATTAGTTACTATGATTGAGGCTTTGGAAACAAGTTAAGTGGGGAAGACAGCGTGGAAGCTGTAATTCCTTGTAGTACATCTTGTTGAGAACCATGAGATGAAGGGGATGTGATCTGAGTGTCGGTTGAGGGACTGATCTGGGAACTCAGAGAAATTAAGGAAGAGAAGGGTGAAGCTGTGCTCAGGAGGGAACTTCAGGACTCATGTTGGTTGTAATGAAGTGTTAAGACTCCCTGGACGCAGAATTTTGCTGCACTGAGTAGATGTAATTTCACGTTAGTAGAATTTCGAGGTGGAAGTAAAAGAGTGTTTCAGGATTAAAAACTCTGCTTGTTTCAGCAGCCTGGAACATCACTTCAGTTTTATGAAGAACTTTTTTCAGTTACAAGAAAAGTTATGTGAGTGAAATAACCATGGTGCTAGGAGAGCATCTGGGGTGAGTTAGTGGTGGTCTCCTGGTGTGCTCTCCTTTATTCATCTGGTTTCCTTCTTTCCATTTCCTTCTGATCATCAAAATATCAGAGCTGCCATGAAGAATAATGAATTTTAAATTTAAAAGCACATTGTTGAGCTTTTTAAGGAGAGTCTGTAAAAGGAAGAAGTGATAAAAGTGCGAAGGGAGCTTGCTGATTTTACAAGAGTCTAGGCGCCTACTTTTTTGTTTTTGAATTTTTATATTTTTATTCTTAGGTAAAGAATGAGGTTTTATAATCAAACCTCACTGATTTCAAATTCTGAGTTCACTTTGCTTTTGTCAAAAGTATTGTAAAAAGAAATTTCAGTGCAGAACCTACTTTAAAGTGTATGTTACAGATTGGTAGATATAACAAGATGGATAGTAGTAAATACACTTAGATTAGGGTAACAATTCCAGTTCATGGGACACTGGCTGTCCATAGGATATTTACTTTTCAGTCATATAAAAATATCCTACAGTCGTCAGTGCACATGATTGGATGTATGTATGCATTATCTGTGTATGTTAATTAGCTCTGCACATCAATTTCTGGTTCTAATAGCCGGAAGCATGTTGAAAAGGAATGTTTAAAGTTCTTGATTTGAAAAGGTTACTGAGTTTTAGACTTGAATCACCTTTGGATAATTCAGTTTTGTTTATGTAGTAGTTTATAGTTCTTAAAGTACAATCTTGTCTCTTGTGAGTTGAGTCTTAACCGCAATCCTGGAAGGATATTGGAGGTAGGTGTTGTCTAAGAGAGAGAATCATTTCCAAATATCTGTGTATTGGAGCGTGTACTACAAATGCTCATATATTTGTTGCTGAGAAGTAATGCAGTTTTCCCAAGGTCATTTTACTGGAAGTGACAGAGTAAATCTTTTGATTTCTAAGCCAGCATGTACCATGCTATTTTTCTCATAATTGAGATCCAGGATATGGTTATGGGAATAAATTATTTTTGCTGAAGTTAAAAAAAAAAAACTCAATAATAACAAAATATAGCCTAAATCAGAACACTTTAAAAAAATTAGTCAAGTTTTACCTTGCATCTAACAAACGGTCTCATCCATAGGCATTAGACACACATTTTAACCAGAGAGTTCTCATTTCTTCACTGCCCGAGGTCAGGTTTTGCTATTGTTTATTTTGGCGTTGACCTTGAGCAAACCTCATTCCTTCTCAGTTCTGGTTTCCCTCTAGGATGCAGAATCAGGATCATGTTATTCAGTTGCCCCCTGCCTACTTCTTAGGGTTTATGTTAAGGGTTAATATTCTGCTGGTCCTGAGATTAAACGTGCTAATCATTCATAAGAAATTTTAATCATTCTTTTGTAGTATTAAATTAATAGAGTATCTTCCAGTTGTCACTAGTGAAGGAAATTCTTATCCTCATAACACTTTTAAAAATAGAATTAAAAAAAAATAGGATAAAAATAGTACTGTGGTGACTAGGTTTCAGCCAGCATTCTCTGTTAGGTCTGGTGAGGTTTCTGGTGGACACAGCCACTGGGCTCTGTTACATTGCAGTTTTGTGGTCTTATTTTTTAAGGTGTTTCTCGGGGAGACGTTTGTATCCTTTGAAACTAAAAATCTTGTATTCCAATTATGTGAAGGAAACAAAAGCTTTGAGGATAAGTATTAATAACTGCTGATTGATTCATATTATTCACGTAAAACCTAAAATCATGGAAGTTCTTATTTATTTAATTTAATTGAGGGAAAAGGCAGATGTGAGCCTAGTACTCCTGACACAGGGCTTTCTGAGGTGCTATGATAGTATAAAAAATTTTTAGTTGTTTTATTTAAGAACACTCTAAAAAAAAATCAATGTTTTAATCACACTTACTGTATTTTATTTGTAACTGGCTGTTAAGGACTTTTAAAATACATATTGGACATACTGAGTCTCCAACTAAGACTTGTGATTAAAAGTAGAAGGAAAAGCTGAAAGAAAAATTCCAAGGATTTGATGACACTAATACAGTATTTTGGAAATCATATTGTATATAAGAGAAACAGCATGCACTTAATTTTTCCTAAAGCACATGTTTTTTTTTTAATATTCAACTGTGAACCCCTAGTTTGTTTTTTTTTGTTGTTGTTGTTGTTTTTTGCGGTACAGCGGGCCTCCCACGTCTGCGGCCTCTCCCGCCGCGGAGCACAGGCTCCGGACGCGCAGGCCCAGTGGCCACGGCCCACGGGTCCAGCCGCTCCGCGGCACGCGGGACCCTCCCGGACCGGGGCACGAACCCGCGTCCTCCGCATCGGCAGGCGGACTCTCAACCACTGCGCCACCAGGGAAACCCTGAACCCCTAGTTTTTAATATAAGAGAAATTGGAACAAAATCAGAAAAACACAAACATAATGTAGATGATTTTTTTCCTGTATTTAGAATATAGTTTCACTTCTAGGCCATACTAAAGAGAACCGTTTATTTGGGCCTCTGCCACTGAGGGTGTTAAAACTGGAAAGATGACTTAAGTGAAATTTTTGCTGGCTCTCTATTTATCACAACACGGTTTAACTGGAGTGAATTTGGTATTGGGTAGTAGCAATCAGAGTAAAGGATTCGAGGGAACATTGCAGGTAGCTCCAGGCAGCTGGGCTAGAAACTGGCCCCTTTCCTCTTGAAGTTCCTTTGTCAGAGCCCACCTTGCAGATGGAGAGCCCTGCGGAAAAGATTCAACATCAAGGTTTCCATTAGTTAGGGTATTTGCTGAAGAGCAGAGATTCTTAACTCTGAGGGTCATGGAAAGTTTTGAAAGTATGTATAACACTTTTGTGTGCATGTTTGTGGATGGAGGAGCCAAAGCTTTCATTAGAGTTTTCTGAAAGACTCATGCTTTAAATGGATAACAACCAAAGCTAGAAAGTGCTGCAGAGCTTTCATTTTTCTCGGAAGAATGGTGTTTAACAATTAAGTTTTCTTTTATAAGACTTAACACAGTCTCTTTGCCAGTTGAAATCCATTCCCCCCAAAAGTATCTTTAAATGTATTACTCAGAAAATGAACCCTAAGAAGACTGGCTCTTTCTATGAGTACGGTTTCTTATCTAAACATATTTCCATTTGCATTAGAGACCCATGTCAGACAGATACCTAGTTCCCCCTAGATGTTTTTTTGGAAGCATTCAATGGCCTCGATGGGTTGAATTCTTCTAATACAAAAATCAGTTGGGGTGCTACTGTGGGTTGGCGTGAGTGTCTTGTAAAAGAAAGGATTAAAAAATTTTTTTGACTGTTGTGGATAGAATGCTTTATTAACACTAGGATTGTTGCTTTTAACTTTGTAATGAAGTTCAGCAGCTTTCTGGGTTTAGAGTGTATATATGGATGGATGGATGGATGATTTTGTTTATAACCATACAATCCCTTGTGTTTTTTCCTTGTTCCCCTCCTAGGTTCCTGGGACACCCTGCAGCAAAGATTCTCTATGCGTATAACCCTAGCAGGGAGAGCGAGGTCGTGGTGAATTCCGTGTTTACAGCTGCGGGACATTTCCATGTGCCTCCCGTTCACTGCAGGGTGAGTGTGGACGCGTCTTGGAAGCTGTGCTGTGGCGGGCTGCCAGCTTCTCTTGCTTTCTTTGCCTGTAGTTTGTTCACTTTCTGTTGCCTGTCTCCCCTTTTTCTGCTACCCAGACGCTTTCCTTCTATGTGTTTGCTTTAGCATTTATTTTTTCAGTTGTTCAGATTCATAATTTTGGTGGCTCTTGATTATGTGGGGAAAAAAAAGTTTAACGAATTTAAACTAGGTAGTAATGCATGTGTATTCAGTACGACTTTCTCATACTTAAAGAACCTTAATATTACTTGTACCGTAGTGACTACCAGTGCTGAAGCATTTAGTAACTAGTACAAGTTTACAGTGGTGATCTCTTCACCTGGCGAGCGTGCTGGGATGGTTAGGACTCTTTTCTAAATACAGGCCTAAGGGGGGTGAGTGGTTCCTTGTGAAGCTAATATGCACCATAACACAGAGCTCAAAACCCTGATCTTCTAATAGTTTTAATTTAATTTAATTTTTTAAAAAATTATTTACTTTTTTGGCTGCGTCAGGTCTTCATCGTGGCAAGCGGGCTCTTCGTCGTGGTGCGCGGGCTTTTTGTTGCGGAGTGCGGGCTTCCCTCTGGTTGTGGTGCGTGGGCTCAGTAGTTGTGGTGCGTGGGATTAGTTGCCCCGCGGCATGTGGGATCTTAGTTCCCTGACCAGGGATTGAACCCGCGTCCCCTGCATTGGAAGGCGGATTCTTTACCAGCGGACCATCAGGGAAGTCCCTAATAGTCTTAATTTTACTAATTCAATTTAACTTTAATTTTTAAACTTTTAAAAGGTCTTTAACTTTTAATGAAGATCCAGGTTACTACTAGAGTTTATTTTCCTTACTATCCCCATTATTTTTTAATACTGGGACTCAGGAAGTGGAGTAAGGGGGAGCCCAGTACTTTGATCATGACAGTCCATCCAGATAAACGCCGTCCCTGACTTCTACTAAGTAGCAACATGTCGGTACACCGGTGGTTGTCTTTACTTAAGTGGAGGTGGAAGTGTGTTAGACACAGGCCCTTGAACACATGGGGGAGGAAGAGGAGGATAAAGGAAAGGTATGAGGCACGTGGCTCCACTCGGGGTGAAAGCTGTCTTGCCCTAAGTCCGCGGTGTGTTCTTTGATATTTTCTCTTAGATTGTTGGATATTGATCTGTTTGGACATTCTCGGGGATTCATGATATGCATAAATCAAGGGTGCAAGAATACGCAAATATCTGTTAACAGGAATTGTCAAGAAGAAAGTCTGTGAAAGACAGTTTGTCAAAGAGGGGCCATTCCAAGTGGCTAATGAGGTAGCTTTCTTTCAGGTAATTCCAGCAATGGGGAAAACGTCCTTCAGAATTATTTTCTTACCTACTGAAGAAGGAAGCATTGAAAGTTCTTTATTTATTAATACCTCCTCACATGGAGTTCTTTCTTATCATGTAAGTAGCTTTTTCTGTTGGTCATGTAATTTGGCTGTTGACGTAATGAAGGAGTTTGGGTGTTAAAGAAAAGCCTTTTGGAAATGTTGCCACCTAGTTTATGTCATTCAAGTATAAGGCTGCTTAGTTGATGTCCAGCTAACCAGCCCTCCTCCTTCCTCTGCCTCACGGGCCAGGTGGCCATCTTTCGTGCAAAGTGCACGGCTGGAATGCACCTTGGATCTCGAAAGGGTATCAGAACAAAACAGAGAAATCTATCCGACGGTTTTCTAGTATAAAATATAATGGGGTTTCAAAACTCACGACGCTCATCTCCAGCAGTCCAGGGATAGGAAGCTTGTGAGGGCGGCCCCTGGGGGTTTTGCTTCCTCCTCTCCCGGGCTCAGGACTGTTTCTGCTCTGGGGACACGGACTGCATGCTTGGGGCCCGTTCCCAGGGAGCTCCCTATTCTGGCAAAGCACTGGGGAGTGAGTGAGAGGAGTCATTTTGTTGTTGGTCACAGAAATAGTCGGGAATCTTTATCTTAAGCGGTATCTGTGACATCTTTCTTTTAAGTGCCAAGATCTATCACTTTGGTGGCTAATTCTTACAGGATTTCATGTAACTCGTGGTCCCATATCAGAAAAGTTGTCTATTTCTGAAGAGATTTGCTGCATTGAGGAACATTCAGCTTAAGTACAGCAACTTTTGTTGCATTTTTGTTTTTTGGGGACGAAGATAAATATAATAATTGGATTAATAGTCTTGACGGCCAAGTTGACGAACACAGATTTCCTTTGGAAAGGTATTTCAGCACTATGTCAAATGTGTTTCAAAAGTAATAGATTTTTTTTTTTTTTCCCTGCAGGTATCTGGCATTGGCACTCGCAGAATCTCTGCAGAAGGGTCTGTAAAACAGCTACCAAATGCTTACTTTCTGCTTCCACAGGTCCAGAGCGTTCAGCTTTCACAAACACAGGTGATTTTAGTGGGACATTTATTTTGAATGCTGATAAATACCAAACTTTGTAGCCTCTACATTTATGTGTCTTACACAGAGTACAGACAGACCTTTTTACCTAGTCAGAAGTGGGATTTTAACATGTTCCGCTTTTGGAAAGAATCCTGGTACATATGGAAATAATGTATGTATGTAAAGTGTCAGTGAAATCCGTATACTTCTTTTTAACGGCTGTATAGTCGACGGTGTTGATATTCCATAGTTTGCTTAGTCCTGTTGTTGGTCATTTGCAGTGTGCCCAGTTTTTCATAATTTTTACCATTAGGCCGTGTACATATTTGACAGGTTTCTTTATTTCTCCTTTGGACTACGTGTTTCCTTGGGGTGTATTTTGTAGAGAGGATTCTGTAGTTAAAGACTACCAACCGGTTTATAGGGCTTGTTAATCTCGCCAGGGTGCTTTTCAGGGAGCCAGACCCTCCCTGGTCACTGGTAATGACATTCCTGCAAGCGTCTTTCCGTCTCCCCGCCCTCCTACCATGAGTCCTGCCTGGGTGTGGCTCAGGGGAGAGAAATGTTTTCAATATCTTAGTAGGTATATAATGGAACCTTAAAATTCTTTTAATGCGTATTTCATTAATCGCTTATAGGGTTGGCCGTTTTTTCCCTTCGATTATTTATATTTCCCTGCAACTGTGGATAATTGTTGAAATTCCAAAAGCACTTGACCCAACATATTGTGAAGCTTACCACCTTACCTACCCTTTCTTTTTTTTTTTTTTTTTTTTTTTTTATGGTACGCGGGCCTCTCACTGTTGTGGCCTCTCCTGTTGCAGAGCACAGGCTCCGGACGCGCAGCCTCAGCGGCCATGGCTCACGGGCCCAGCCGCTCCGCGTCATGTGGGATCTTCCTGGACCGGGGCACGAACCCGCGTCCCCTGCATCGGCAGGCGGACTCTCAACCCCTGCGCCACCAGGGAAGCCCTACCCTTTCTTTTTAATGAATAACTGAAGCCCACTGCTCGGACTTCTTCTAGGTCATGGTAACCAGGCTTTCCTTCACCATCAGTTTCACTGCGCCTCTGCTCTGGGCCAGGCATGAGTCTGGCACCTCTGTCTCCATGGAGCGCTCATTCCAGTGGAGAGAGAAGCAAAATTAATTTACCTGTAATGTAATGTCTGGGTGCTTTGCTACCCAATAGGTCATTCTTAGGGATTTAACATACTATTTCCATTTTTTTATAAAATGGAATAGCCCTTCCTCAGGATTTTAAGGAAGATTTCTTTTTATTTGCAAATTTGGATTTGGTTTAAGTTCTAAAACCAGTGGGACTGTATTGAAAGGTTTTAGGCTGGAGACTGCTGTGATCTGACCTGCATTTTGTAAGGGCTTGGAAGGCCTAGAGAAAGTTTAATTTGCATGTGCTGACAGCGAGGGCTTTTCCTGTGAGCACTTTCAGCCTTATCTTGGGGCTGTCCTTCAGCGGGGGGAGAGGGAGGGCAGCTGGGAATGGCCAGGTTTCTCTGGTGACTGAGAGCTTTGAGTGCCTGGTGCCATGTTAGTGGTGATAAAAGCATTGAAACTGAGGCGGGTGTTCAGATTACCTTAGTTAATGCTGTTAATTTAAGGATACGTGGAATTAAGGGCCTCAGAGGCCTTGGTGTGATGAGAGCGTGCCTGCCATCCACTCTTCCTGGCAGATCCCGTCCTTGCCGTGGTGCCCTCTGCCCTGCCCCACATCCAGGCCATCCTCACCTGGGCCACTGTAGCAGCCCCTTAACTGGTCTACCAGCGTCTGCTTCAGCCCTTTCAAGTCCTCTTCCCCAAAATGCAAGTTGGACCTCGTCAGTCACCTGCTCTCCGTGCATTCCCGTAGGATTTAGGACTTAAACGGAACCCTTCGTGTGGCTGGAAGGCCTTGCGCGGTCTGGCGCCGTCCCTCCCCCGCCTCCCTCCCTCTGCTGCTCACACTGCCTCTTCCCCTCCTGCCCCTGGACCTCTGTGCCTGCCGTTTCCCCAGACGCCCCTCCCCCAGCTTTTCTCACAGTTAACCCTCACTTCATCCTTCCTTTCTCATCTTGAGTTCTCCAAGGATCTTGCTGTCTCTCCCATTCAGTTCCAGACCTCGGTTGGTCCGCAGTACAACTGACTTCCTTCCGCCTTAGGACTCGTATCCGGTGAAATAATCCCACGCCCACATAGTGTGTTTACTTAGCCACTCTCTCTTTCACTCGTGGAATTTAAGACCCACGAAAGCGGGGGCCACCTGACTTGGCTTTCCGTATCCTCCCGGCCCAGCCCGGGGCCTGCCGTTGGAGGGGCCCATGAACTTGGGCTGAGGCGAGTTTCGGCCAGCTCCCCCTACCACGGCGGTGACTTGGCTTTTCTTGTATCTGCTTTAGCTGGTACGAAACTCTGTTCTGTTTCTTTTTTCCTTTTTTGCATTTTTATCTATTTTTAGCAGCTTTATCGAGATATGATTCACATACAACAAAATTCACCCGCTTAAAGTATACCCCCACTGGCTGTTAGTATACTCGGAGTTGTGCAGCAGTCACCACTCTCTCACAGTCTAATTTTAGAACATTTTCTTTGCCTTAGTCCCTGGCAACTGTTACTCTATTTTCTGTCTCTATAGATTTGTCTATTTTGGACATTTCATGTAAATGAATTGTGTGGTCTTTTGTGATTGGCTTCTTTCACTTAGCATAGTGTTTTCAAGTTTCATCCATGTTATCAGTTTTTCCTGCCTTTTTATTGCCAGATGATATATTGTATAGGCATATACCACATTTTGTTTAAACATTTATCAATTGGTTTCAATTTTTGGATTTGTTTTAGTTTTTTTGGCTATTATGAATAATGTCGCTGTGAACATTCATGGACAAGTTTGTGTGGGCGTATGTCTTCTGTTCTCTTGGGTGTGTATGTAAGGGTGGAATTTTGCTGGGTCATGTGGTAATTCTATGTCTCACATTTTGAGGAATTGTCAAACTGTTTTCTAAAGTGTTATCATTTTACAATCTCACCAGCAATATATGAGGATTCCAGTTCTCTGCAACTTTGCCAAGGCTTGTTATTTTCTGTTTTTTTGTTGTTGTTTTGTTTTTTATAGCCATCCTCGTGGGTGTGAAGTGATACCTCATGTGGTTTTTATTTGTGTTTCCTTAATCACTATTAATGATGTTGAGTGTCTTTCCATGTGCTTTTTGATAAGTTTTGTATCTTCTTTGGAGAAATGTCTATTCAGATCCTTTGCCCATTTTTTAATTGGGTTATTTGTCTTTTTATTGTTGAGATGTAAGTGTTCTTATATATTCTAGATAGTAGACTTTCATCAGGTACATGATTTGTATGTATTTTTCTCCCGTTCTTTAGGTTGTCTTTTTATTTTTAATTTTGATGAAGTCCAGTTCACCTATTTTTTATTTGGTCGCTTATGCTTTTATTGTCAAATCTAACAAGGTCCAAGGTTGTAAAGATTTACTCCTGTGTTTTCTTCTGAGTTTTATAGTTCATCTCTTGTAGTGAGGTCTGTGACCCATCTTTACTTCATTTTAGTGTATAGTGTGAGCTCGGGATCCAAGTTCATTCTTTTCGTATGCATTTCCAGTAATCCCAGTTCCATTTGTTGAAAAGACAGTTCTTCCCCCATTGGAGTGTCTCGGCGTTCTCCTTGACTGTCTCAGCTTCAGCTCTGTTCCCAATGGTAGATTCTCTCCATTTTCATTTATACTGGGATCTATGAGTTTAGTCAAGTCACTGTCTAAGGCTGCCCCTGTTGAGCATAGCTCCCCTCGTCAGTCAGTCAACAGTTAGTTATTAGATACCATTTCTTGAATGTTCCAGGAAGTGATAGGGCAGTGAACACAGCACAGTGTCCCTGCTCTTATGACGTGACAATGTAGAATACATTTCAGAGTTTGAAGGTAAAACTCAATTTTTTTGACTGATCTTTTGTTGGAACCCAGTATTGAGAGGTCTAAATATCAAAAAATATTTCTTAAAAGGCAGTTGTTTAAATTTCTTTCATTTTTACAGTGATTCAGAAAAAGAAACTTTAAAGTCTTTTTTTCAAGGCTTACTACACCTAGAAACAAAAACAAAAACCTACAAAATTTAGACTTAAGAAATAATTATGGCATTCCTCAGAAAAAATCCTGACTATAATATTTTCGCATTTAAACTGCACACATAAAATGCGTTCAAGTTGTGTTTTAAGTGGCTGTAAGGTTGCCGGCTGTCCTTTTCCAGAAAGGAGTATCTTTATTTTGATATTCTTTCTGTCCCGTGTTTTTGTCTACCTTTTGCCCGTGGTCCAGACCCATAATCTGGGGTGGGTGCTGAGTTCAAGAGGTCTCTTCTCTCAACGGGGAAGGAGGGTGGGGGAAAGAGTGCTCATGACTGAATCTTCTCCAGAACAGAGCTGGAAAGTGCATCTGGTAGAAGGCTAAAGAGCGAGAAGGTTTAGGCAGAAATGAATATGTCCTGAGTCTTTCAGATACAGGGATTGTCACTGGTCTTTGCTCACACATACTTAAAATTGCTTCCTAAGGTAGCAACTAGAAAGTTATGTAATCAGAACACTTTGGCTCACTTACCCTTGCAGCTTACCGCATGATACCTCACACAGAGGGACTGTGGCAGCACTTGGTCTTGTCTCCTGAGCTGCTAAAAGATTCAGTTAGCTATGACAAAATCAAATTTAAATGATGCTAGTAAAAAAACCCATGGATTTATTTTAGGGATACAAACTGGAGGAAAAATTAAGTACTTCCATGAGGGTCAAAAGCCAGTTTCCTCCCGCTGTCTGTCTTTTTCCAAGCCTGTGCTCCGTCCACTGAGCTCACTGTCTCTCGTTGGACCGCTAAATGAACACCCGTAAAGCCCCAGGACAGAGCCCAACCCCAGGTCACAGAGTATAACTTTACTAAAGCCCCCTGAAAAGGGCATTGTTTTATATTTCATCCTCCTTTCCTGAAAGAGCATACATTTAGGGAAGATGGTCAGTTGAAAT